ACGGTTCAGTAGAAAACCGTCTTCCAGCTGGAAGAGGGGGATGGGGGGGATAAGGACGCCATTCAGAATCTGATACGAATTCAACTTTTGACTCATTTTATATGCAAAAAGTCCCATCCAAAAAGGAGTAGGACAAACACCGATGTACCCAGCGGGAAAGTCTGCCTGACTCTTACTCCTAGAGAATGCAAGGAAACCTGCCTTCTCGGGGCTCATTCGCGAGGCCTTCGCAATACAAATATCTAGCAGATTATGTATTTCCAACGGCTACGCATCCCCTACTTGGTGAGGTTCATTTTGACAGCTGTTTTGGTACGTTTGCTAAGCGCGACCGAGGGACCGAAAAGCAAGCCAAAACACCGAGGGTCTACTGCAACGCTGCAGTGGCAATCTGGTCTTCGACCAATCGCATACCTTCAAGGTCGACTCAGATCTGCCCCGCTAAGGCGATATGATGACTGTTCAACTCTCTTCCAACCTGTTCTCAAATCATGCTGCACAGAATAAAACGTCATCTCAACTAGCGTTCAACTTGCCTTTCTATTCCAGACCCAGCCTGAAGACCGTTGCCTTTAGGGACTGTCTATAGATTAAGCTGTCGCGATGCACCAGCCCAGGCTGGTGGCGTCGAAGAAGACCATTTTAGCCCCAAAAATCCTAACCCATTTGCCAAGACGAAAGTCCCTCCGAACAATCAGTTGCTGTAAAGGAAATAATGACAGCTCATGGATGTAGCCCCTACCTACGATAGGCTTACCATTTGTACTCCATCCACCTGCCTTTCACCAAGGTCCCGCAACGTCTAGCCACTTGTCGCTAGTATTTCCTCCTAAATGTTTACGTGAGATGACAATCTTGTGAGTCGAGCGTTAGTTGAATCATGGTTCACGGGCCCCCAGTCTATAAGTAGGTGCAACGACCTGCCCAATCCGTATTCGGTGATGATGCTCAATTTGGCCAAAGCAATTGTTCACTTGGGGAACGCAGAGATCAACACGTCGACTAATTCTAATGCCAGGGAGCCAGATGGCGGAGCAACCATCACTTCCGATTCCACCAAGTGTGACGAAAGTTCAGCACGTCACGGCTCGCAGGCCGGCCATCAAGCATAGATGGGCAATTACGCTCGATAGAGGAGTAGTTAATTTTCATAAGTGTGCAATAGCATAGTGACTGTATCCTATAGACACTGCAACTACTGTGCATGAATTACCCGTTTCTCCTATTGCCTCTGATGAAGGATCCGTAACGGATTTCGAAATATCAGGCAAATAAAATTCATGTCCGAGTAATCATATCTACTCATTCTCAGTATTTCCTCCCTTCACACAATAGCATCCCGCCGAAGAATGATAAATAGCTTCGGCTTACCCATATTTTCTCAGTGTTTCGTAGATAAGTTAGATTTTCCTCACAATTGAACTTCAAAGTAATTCAGTGTTTAGTTCACGAGAGCATAAAATTCAAGACTGATTTAAATGAAAGCATTTGGTGTTTATGTGGTTAGGTGTATGCTTCTCCGTCTTGTCTCTGCAGTGAGGCGTTTTTTTCCTGCGGAAGTGGAGTCCTCAAAAATGCATTCAACTTCTCTTTTCTCCCTCTTACCAAGAGCTTTATAGAGAAAATGCTCCAGAAGGGAATCCCGTCTTTCCCTGGCCCCCGTTTCTTTTGTTGACTCATCCTGTTTTGCGGTATCTCCCGGAGTCTGACTCGAAGGCAGAGGGTCCAGTCGCTGAGGTGGGGCGTTTCCGCGACCCTTCCACCCCGTGGCGACTGTTGGCAGGACGGGAACGGAAGAAAAGATCAACGGTGTCCCTTTCGGCAAATCTCCAGCTTCTGGCTTCACTCCTGTACTCGGGAGCTGAGGCGATAAATGGTCAATGGAAGAAGTTAATTTTCGGAGCATATATTCTGTTTAGGACAATAGTTTGGTAAAAAAAAAGCCATAAAAGGTGAACTTTGTACTTGGCAGGATTGCTAGTTAAAAGATTGCCGCCTCATTTTCAGTAAACTTATCGCCCTTTTTCGGTAGCTTTTTGGAAGTCATCGTCCATTGAGCTGTTGGACAGAAAATTTATATGAGAACGAACAGGTGCAATTGCTGGGACAAGAAGTTAATTTACTTGACGTTTCGCATTCTCGCTCGAACCCAGCATCAGAGACAGTAGCAGAAACGGGTGGTTTGTATATAAAGGAAGTTACAATATGTATAGCATACAGTCGCTATGCCTCCGCCCATGAATGGCTCCCCCTCGTCCACCATACAGTACGCACCAAAATTCGTGCAATATGTCGTGATTTGCGAAAGAATGGTACTCACTCGCTAATCGCCATGGAGTAAGGTTGTAATACTAATTATTGTGTAGTCTATTCCGGAGTCATTTTAGTAACGATAGGATGCCGGCTTTTTAACAAGCTTCTTTCTGACCGCTACCTAAAAGTATGTACTGCAAGAAAGTGGCTACTTACGTAGTATGCATTTTTATCGTCTATTTTGGCCGTCTTTATCAATTCAAATATATTTAATTGAAAAATACACGAAAACTTTTTTCTTGTACTCGTTTGGTAGCAAATTACGCTTCTAATTTTATACTTAAAGAAAGGGTATGTTTTCGTTTTAAGAAAGTTTCTAACTTGCCGAATAATTTTGAAACCTACTGACTGCTACACTCGAATTCAAGGTTAACAAACTGCGCATTGTGTACATTTTGTTTATGGAAAAGTACGTTTTCAACTACAGTTTGAGGAAGAAGTCATATAGTTCTCATTAAATGTTGCAATGGGTGTGGAACGTGCTTTATACAGGATAGGCAGCATTAATAACTTGACGGATACAATGTATTATGAAGGAACACCTCACAATCGTAAAAAAGTTCATAATTATAAATTTTCTTTAAACCGAAAGATACCATTTCTTTAGAGAATACGTAATTTTCTACAAAACGAATACAAGAAATAATCATTTCACTGATGTTTTCCGTAAAATATATTTGAATTTATAAAGGCAGTCAAAATCAGTGATAAAAACGCATACTATTTAAGTAGTTTCTTTTTGCATTACATACGTTTAGTTACTAGTCAGAAAGGAGCTCATTGAAAAGCTCGCATCCTTTCATGACTGAAGTAACTTCAGAATAGACTATACGATAATTCGTATCACAACCTGAGTGAATGCCGATTAACGAAAGAGTATCAATCTTTCGCATATGTCGGCATGTTGCACTAATTCTGGCGCGTACTGTAGTTTCCGCTTGTGTGCTAATTGCTCGATGGCCGGCGTGCTGGTGGTGACCTGCTGAATTTTCATCACTCCTGCTAGATTTTGGCCTGATTATTGCTCGGCCATCTGGCTCATCGGCACTGGCGTTCAAAGGCGTGTTCGCCTTTGTGCTCCCCGAATGGCGAACTCATTTGGCGAACCTGAGTCTCAGCACTGAAAATGGGCTGAGGAGATAAGTGCACTTTTTGTAGGTTGGCACCCGCGAACCATGACTCAAGCAGATCTTTGGCCACACGATTGTCACATCGCACGAGAATTTTGGCCTC